ACCTCATCGCGGCGCCGAACCTGGAGGCTAGGCGAGGCTTGGGTCGCGACGGATGCGACGCTGCACCCGCGCGTCCCCGCGCACGTGAACCTGGCCACGGTCGACCGCGAGGCCTTTGTCAGGGTCGCCGTCGAGCCGCGGGGGTTCACCGTGGTGCCGTGGCGGGCGCTGCGCCCTTCCCTCATGACCGAGGGTGGCGGGCGGCGCTGCAGCAGGTCCTCGCGGCGGAGGAGCCTGGCCTCCCGGCGCAGGCGTGGGGCGCCGTCGTCGGCGCGGCGGAGGCCGAGCTCTGCAGCCGCTGGTACTTCGTGGGGGCTGAGAGGCGGCAGCACACTGGCAGAGGGGGCGAGCCTGTCTTCAAGCTGGTCCAGCCGACGTGGCAGCCGCCTCGAAGGCGGAAGCTGTGCGACCCGAAGGTCAGCGCCCACGTGGTGGCGGCGCGGTGGGCTCGGCATTTGGATGCCGCTCGCGCGCGCTTGGTCAAGTTGCTGGCGTGCGACCAGGATGACTGCGTCGAGCTGGCCGTGGAGCTCATCATCGAGACCCACCGCTACTACGGCAACTTGGCGAAGTCGCACCGCGTGCTCGGCCAGCTCTCCGAGGACGTCGCGCAGTGGCTCTTGGGCGGCGCGGCCCAGATCAGCAGCTGGACGTGGGCCGCCAAGGTCGAGAAGATCGTGGCGGAGGCCGAGCGGCTCACCAAGCGCTACAATGGCGAGCGCGAAAAGGAGTGGCGCGCGTGGGCCGCCAAGGGCCTCATGGGCGGGGCTAGTGCTGAACGCCGTTTCACGAGGCTGCCTCCTGAGGCTGAGGTCCGTGGGGCCACCACGCGAGCCAGCCCGCGCCAGCTGGCTGGCCGCGAGCTCGACGGATGGAAGGACGTTTGGACCGTCCACGAGCAGGGCGCCCTGGAGAAGCCTCCCGACTTTGACGACTGGGCCGAGCTCCCGCGGATGAGCGTCGGACACCTCCGACGCGCTGCGCTTCGTTTCAAGGAGCGCACCGCGGTGGGCCAGACGGGCATTGCCCCGCGGGCCCTCTGGCACCTCAGCGACATTGGCCTCTTCGTGCTGTCGGCGCTTTTCAGCCAGTGCGAGAGGTTGGGGGCGTGGCCGACTGACAGATTGCACACAGTGCTGGTGCGCCTGCCCAAGGCGAGTGGAGGATGCAGGCTGATTGCCCCGGTGAACTCCTTCCTCCGTCTGTGGGCGAAGGCGCGTTCGACGATATCGCGTGCCTGGCTCGACCAGGCGGACGTGCCCAATCTCTGGGGCACTGGTGGAGCTGGCAGGACCTCGACGGCAGCCGCTTTCCACCGCAACCTGGCGGCTGAGATCATGACCATCAATGGCGGGCACAGCGTCACTGTGCTCCTAGATGCGTGGAAGGCGTTCGACAGCTTGATTGGGGGCAGGCTGCTGGACGAGGCTCGGGCCATGGGGTTTCCACTCCGCCTCATGTGGGCCATCCTCAGGTACCACCATCTGCCGAGGCGCCTCAAGGCGTCCGGCTCGACGTCGAAGAGCTTCACGGCGCACCAGGGCATCCTGGCGGGCTGCTCCCACTCGATGGCGGTGCTGGTGGTGGCGACGGCGCGAGCCTTGCGGCGGCTGGCGGCGCACGACGTTATCCCGCGCACGCTCGCCGACGACACCTCGGTCCAGTGGATCGGCACGGACCTGCGAGGCGTGCGCGTCCTGTGGCTGGCCGCCAAGCGCTTCAAGCACGAGGTCGAGGACGTTTGCCTCCTGCTGCAGGAGCTCAAGTCGGGCTACGTGGCGACGTCGAGGCAGAGCCGCGCTGCAGCGGCGCCGTTTGCCAAGCGGCTCAGGATGGGCTCGCAGCCGCACGTGCGGAACCTGGGCCATGACCTGAACGGGACCAAGGCCTGCAGGACGGTCGTCAAGACCAGGCTCAAGAGCGTGAGGCCGCGGCTGAGGCGCGCGGCGAGGCTGCGCCGAGCTGCTGGAGGGCGTGCGGCGCGCCTGTGGCAGACGGGCCTGCTGCCTGCTGCCGCCCACGGTGCGGCTGTGAGCGGCGTGGCCCCCTTCCGGGCTGGCCGCGCTGCGCTCGGAGGCGGCCCGACTTGCTGGGGCTAAGGGGCGCGGCGGCAGCAGCGCGCTCTACCTGGCCAGCGAGCGCAACCCGTGGCACGACCCAGTCTACGCGGCGACCGTCGAGCCGCTCATGCACTACGCCACGGTCGTGTGGCAGCAGGCTGTGTCCATGAGTGCTCTGGAGAAGGCCTGGCGCGTGACGCTGGACAGAGTCGAGGCGGGCAATGACAAGCTGACGTGGGCGTCGGCACGCGGGCCGCTCAAGGTGGTCGTCCTGTCGCTCAAGCGGATCGGCTGGGTGATGCTGTCGTCGGTGCTGATCCAACCTGACGCGGGGCCAGTGATTTCGCTCCTGGCCACTTCGCCTCGCTTTGTTTTGCGATCTCCTGCGGCAGGGGATTCAGCGTTGGCAGATGCGCCAGATTGCCTCTCACCATGATGCGCCCGCGCCGTTATGGCCGCGAGGCCTGCGGGCTTGTGTGGGCGGGAGGGGGGCGACGGTTACTGGGGCGGGGAGGGCCGGAGCTCTGCGCAGCCTGTGGTCTGGCTCCCTCTGGCCAAAAGCGAAGTTGTATAGCAGAGGAATGTGCGATGATCAGAAATGTCGAGCGTGCCCGCATGAGGCCGAGACGCTTGGCCATTGCTTCGTCGAATGCCCAGCGCTTACACAGCGTTTGTTGGATGATGAGGAGGATTGTGGTCTCGATCCCAAGTTGGCCGCAGCTCGCGACGCCATGTTGGAGCATGGGCCGATTGGAGAGGGCCGCCAGGATGTTGATTCGTTCGCCCTCTCGGTCGGGATCCGTAGGTGGCCCAAGATTGAGGTGCCGCCGCCTCCTGAGTCGCCTCCATGCTTCTTTTGGGGAGATTGGGAGTCGGATCCCGAACAGTGGAGTGATTGTGTTTTTACCGATGGCTCGGGATACCACAACGAGTATCCTGAGCTCCGTCGGTGTGGATTGTCTGCGGTCATGTTGAATGCCAATGGAGCCCCCGCTCGTGCGCTGCATGGCGGGCTCGCGGGTGCGCAGCAGACCGTAGGCCGTGCAGAGCGGGTCGCGGGCCTCAAGACCCTTCAGCATATGCCCTCGGTCCAATGCGTTATTTCTGAGTTGTTGGAATTTGTGCAGGAAGGCAAGCTGTGGGGCCAAGGAGAGAATGACGCCCTCACCGATGCCAGCCGTGCATACCCTGCAGTGTGGCGCCAGCTCGTGGCGCTGCCTGCCTTTGCATGGATTCCGTCCCACAGGACCGAGGATGAGGTTCTCTTCCCCGCTCCTGAGGACCCTCCGCCTCCCCCCTACCTCTGGGTCGGGGGCAACAGCTGGGCCGATTTTTTCGCTAAGCTGGGAGCTCTCTCGGTTAAGCTCCCAGAGGCCCACGCTAGGTTATATAAGGAGTCGCTGTCAGGGGCTGCCCAGTATGCCAAGTACTTGTCTTGGGCGGTCCAGAGAAGCTGTCAGCTCGAGCTGTGGTCCGAGAAGGCCGTTCTGACGCCCGCCCCGATCAGGCCTCCCAAGTCTGTCGGAGCTGGAGTGGTTTTGCTGATACATGAGCACGACCTCGTCGAGATTCGGGGGAGGCTCATGTGCAGAAGATGCCGCCGCACTGCGAAGACCGCCGGGGCTCTCAGGCAGTTGACAGGAGGCACTGATCGACGGTGTGTGCCTTCTGCGATTTCCCGAATGCAGGCGAATCTGATCGAGGCTGCCGCCAGCGCCGCTGCGAGGCCGCCGACGGCCCGTTGGGGTCATGTGGGGGGGCTGCCTGGTGGCCTTGTGGGTGCCCGTGGGGATGGGGCCTCGGCTGGGTCGGTTCCTGCTGCCGCTGGGCTGGGGTCGGCTGCGGCTAGTTGCTCGGCTGGGGCGCTCTGGGGGGGGGCCTGTGCCTGCCCGCGAGGGCGGGGCTGGGGCTTCCGTGGTGGCTGGGCCTGGGGGCTCGGCGTCTTCGGCCTCTGCGGGGGCCGTGCGGGAGGGGCCTGCGCCTGCCTGCGAGGGCGAGGCTGGGGCTCCCGTTGGGGGTGCCGCGGGCTCTGGGGAGCCCGCGGTGGCGGAGAGGCGTCGCGCGCCTGGGGGACACGACGTCACCGCCACGGGTACGGTCGTCTGGCGTCGGCGGTGCGGGGCCTATGGGTCCGTCAGGGTGGGGGCGGCCTTTAGCCCCCCTTGTCCTGACCCCAAAGACTTGCCCAAGAGCAGGAGGTCAGTCCTCAGTGCTCTCTTGAGGGGCAAGCACCCCAAGACTGGGAAGTCACTCACTGGGTGACTGACGGTTTGGGTGTTTCAATTTCCCTCTTAGGAGTGGTGTCTGTGAGCAGACGCTTCCCCTTTAGTGCTTCCCTGCTTCCCTCTTCCTCCTCCTCCTCCTCCTCCTCCTCCTCCTCCTCCTCCTCCTCCTCCTCCTCCTCCTCTCCTCCTCACCCTCCTCCTCTCCTTCTCCTCCTCCTCCTTTTCCTCCTCCTCGTCCTCCTCCGCCTCCTCCTTGCTACTTCTCCCTGCTCGGCCAGCGGCGCCGCCCTGCTCAAAGTCCTCGGCCGCCCCAGGGCCACCAAGAAAGACGCCCAGACCAAGTTCGACCCTCCTCCTCGTCGTTCCCCTCCTCGTCGTCGTTCTCCTCGTCTTTCTCTTCCTCCTCCTCCTCCTCCTTCTCCTCCTCCTCCTCCTCCTCCTCGTGTTCTCCTCCTCTTCCTCCTCGTCTCCTCTCTCCCCTCCTCCTCCTCCCCCCTCCTCCTCCTCATCCCCCTCCTCGTGCTCCTACCTCCTCCTCCTCGTCCTCCTCCTCCTCGTTATCCTTGTTCCTCCTCCTCCTCCTCCTCCTCCTCCTCGTCGTTCTCCTCCTCCTCCTCCTCCTCCTCCTCCTCCTCCTCGTTCTCCTCCTCGTCGTCTCCTCCTCTTCCTCGTCTGGTCTGGGGATGTCCAGAGTGCGCTGGGCAGCCTCAGCGAGGTTCAGATGGCCGCACTACTCCGGCAACATGTGGTGGGCGCGGTGCGACTACATCAAGTCGCTTCCCAGGCGGGACGGGAAGCAGAGGAGCAGGGGGGGACGTTCGAGATGCAGTGGCCGAGGTCGCAGGACGGATGTTTTGTAGGGCGCTCTGGCCCTTTCCTGGCGTATGCCGGCGTCCAGAGGCCCACGGAGACGTCCAGGACCTCTCCGAATCTCCGGGGAGCGCCAGAGACAGCTGAAGACCGCCCGCGGGGCAACAACAATAGTCGGAGGTGGTCAGAGCTTTTGTGGGCCCCGGAAGCGGCAGGGCCGTTTTTTCACCGTTTCCGAAACAATGTCCCTTCAAAATGGAAACGGCAAAAAAACGGCGACCGGAAACGGCAACAAAAACGGCTCCGGGATCGGAGCCGGAGCCGGAGCCGGAACCGGTCAAAAAACGGCGACGGAACCGGCAAACAAACGGCGTCGGAACTGGCAAAAAAAACGGCAAAACGGAACCGGTAAAAAACGGGCCTGTTGTTTCCAGGGCCCACTAAGGTCAGAGCCCCCATCCTGACACGTCGAGTTGTGAATTGTCCGTTTTCGGTTCTCGAGAGGGCGCCGCGGCCGTCGTTTTCCAGGCTTGCGCCCGCCAGATTTGGGCCCAAGGTCGTCTTCATTAAACCTCGTTTTGCTAAAAGGGGGGTATGTCCATCCCCGAAATAGGAGGAGCACGAGGCCAGGCGGATGAAATCGCACGCGGAGGGTTCGAAGGCTTGAGGGTAATTAGAAGGGGGGTGGTCCCGTGGGGGTCGGAGGAGGTTCCCAGCAGGAGAGGCCCAGTGGGAGGTATGGGGGGAGACCCAGCGCTGGGACGGCAGTCCGAGGAGCACTGGGGCAGGAACGTTCAGGAGGGGAAACAACACACACACAGACACAATGAATCGTCGATTCCCCAGAAAAGATGGGCAGTGGCGGGGAAGACATGAACCAGAAAATATGGGAAAATGTAGGGAATCCTTTCCTTTGTGTGTATTTATTTGCGTGTCCCAGGGCCCCTTCGAATCTGTGGAGCCCGTGCAGGCCGTCCTTTTTGACTGGGCGCCTTGCTGCACGCCTTGCGTCGCCTCCTTGGCCGCGCGCCCCATCGCGCAGCTGCCCAGACTTCCTCCTGTTTAAGGCTTCAAGATCTTAGGCGTACTTACGAGCTACCTACAGCTGGGTGTAAGTTACTTCTGTTCTGTGTTAAGTAATAGTATATGTTGAGTATGTTCCCTAATTAAGGGCATTGTTTTTAAGTGCTCCTCTTGCGGAACCAAGTCACTTGCGCTACTTCTAATTATTTTCCATCCATCGCCGAGCGGGGTAAGTTACATATAAGTGCTTGTTGTAAGTTACTTAACACATTTTAGGCACCATCACTTAGTATTACCTATTATATTTACTTATAATTAACTTGTGTAAGTTACCTCCTTCCCTCCCTCCCTCCCCCTCCCTCCCTCCCCCTCCGCGCCGCGCGCGCGCAAAAGGAGAGAATTGGGGGAGGTAGCGATGGCGATCGCTTGGGGAAGGAGGAGGAAGAGTGGGGGAGGTAGCGATGGCGATCGCTTGGGGAAGGAGGAGGAGGAGGAGGAGGAGGAGGAGGAGGAGGAGGAGGAGGAGGAGGAGGAGGAGGAAGAGGAGTGGGGGAGGCAGCGATGGCGATCGCTTGGGTAACGATGGACGCGGTGACGCGCATGATGGCGATAACGACGATGACGATGACGACCTATTACGACGACGATGATTATGATACTGGCCATACTGACGACACTGACGACACTGACGATGATCCTGCCGACGATGACGACGATTGCCGACGATGACGACGATTGCCGACGATCCTGACAATGATGACGACGACTACGGCAATGATGATGACGTCGCTGATGATGACGTTGACGACGCTGATGATGATGATGGCGACGACGATGGTGATGATGACAGGCGATGACGATGATGGCGATGATAATGACGATCATGATGATGATCATGACGGCGATGATGATGATGGCGATGAGGCTGCCTCAGACGACGGTGACGACGACGATGGCAGGAACCCGCCCAGGACTCCAGAACAAGGACTTCCTTGTGTTGGAGCTGAGGCTATCCAGCCTATGGGTGAGTGGACGGCGCCCTCGTCGTCGTCGAGGTTGGTTTGAGGAGGTTTGGGGTTCTTGAGGTTTTGGGTTTCGGTTTTGGATTATGGTGGTTTTGGGTGCGCCGAAGTTGTTTTGGTGAGGTTTTGGTATCTGGATGTTTTAGGTTTAGGTATTGGGTTCTCTCTCCCCCGTCCCCCATCATCTCCCCCGTCCCCCATCATCTCCCCCGTCCCCCATCAACTCTCCCGTCCCCCATCGCCTCTCCCGTCCCCCATCGTCTCTCCCGCCCCCCCCCTCGGGCGATGCAGGAGGTTGGGGCTTCTCGGAGGCGCCTTCGGCTGACGCAGGGGGTCGGAGCGTCTGGGAAGCGCTTTCGGGTGATGCAGGAGGTTGGGGCCTCTCGGAGGCGCTTTCGGCCCGCTGGGCGGGCGTTCTTGGGAGCGATGGAGATCGCTGGGGCGAGCGGGGCGTGGCTTGGGAGGTAGCGATGGCGATCGCTTGGGCGAAGGGGCGAGGGGGGGCGGGGGCGGGGGTGCACGGGGAGGTAGCGATGGAGATCGCTTGGGCGAGGAGGGCGTGGATTGGGAGGTAGCGATGGCGATCGCTTGGGCGAAGGGGCGAGGGGGGGGAGGTAGCGATGGAGATCGCTTGGGCGAGGGGGGCGTGGATTGGGGGGTAGCGATGGAGATCGCTTGGGCGAGGGGGGGCGTGGATTGGGAGGTAGCGATGGAGATCGCTTGGGCGAGGGGGCGAGGGGGCGGAGGTGATGGGGGGTGGTGGTGGGTGGGTGTGGGGTGGGGGTGGTGGTGGTGGTGGTGGTGGTGGTGGTGGTGGGGTGGTGGTGGTGGTGGTGGTGGTGGTGGTGGTGGTGGTGGTGGTGGTGGTGGTGGTGGTGGTGGTGGTGGTGGTGGTGGTGGTGGTGGTGGTGGTGGTGGTGGTGTGGTGGTGGTGGTGGTGGTGGTGGTGGTGGTGGTGGTGGTGGTGTGGTGGTGGTGGTGTGGTGGTGGTGGTGGTGGTGGTGGTGGTGTGTGGTGTGTGGTGTGGTGTGTGGTGGTGGTGGTGGTGGTGGTGGTGGTGGTGGTGGTGTGTGTGTGGTGGTGTGGTGGTGGTGTGGTGGTGGTGGTGTGGTGGTGGTGGTGGTGGTGGTGGTGGTGGTAGGTGGTGGTGTGGTGGTGGTGGTGGTGGTGTTGGTGGTGGTGGTGGTGGTGGTGGTGGTGGTGGTGGTGGTGGTGGTGGTGGTTGGTGGTGGTGGTGGTGTGGTGGTGTTGTGGTGGTGGTGGTGGTGGTGGTGGTGGTGGTGGTGGTGGTGGTGGTGGTGGTGGTGGTGGTGGGTGGGTGTGGTGGTGGTGGTGGTGGTGTGGTGGTGGTGGTGGGTGGTGGTGTGGTGGTGGGTGGGTGGCGCGGGGGTGGGGGGGGCGGGAAATAGCGATGGCGACCGCTTGGGCGAGGGGGAGTGTATGGGGAGGTAGTAGCGATGGCGATCGCTCGGGAGTGGGTAAGGAGGATGGTATAGAGGAGGGGGTGATGAGGCGGAGGATGAGGCTTATTCGACCAGAGAGCGGATGGAAGTGGTGGATTGGGTGAAGAGCATCAGGGAGGGGGAGGGTGGGGAGGGGGGGGGGAGTCGGAGGCGGTGGAGGGCAAAGCGATCTCGATCGCTGTGCGGTCATTGCCGCTAGCTTAGCCGTCCACTGGTTAGCCGTTGCTGGCCCTGGCGGGTGCGCGCGCGCGCCCCCCCGTTGCCGCCGCGCTAGCATCATGGCGGCCAGCGCGCTGGTGGAGCAGCTGAAGGCCGCCGCATCGTTCCTCACTCAGCTTGAGAAGGGGGGCAATGCATATAAGGAGGTCGTGACGGCACAGTGCTGCATGGCGATGGGCGTTATGGAGCCGAGGACCTTCGTCTCCGCCGAGGACTCGGCCGCGCTGATCTTGCAGATCGGCAAGATGCCATTCGGCAAGAAGAAGATGGCCACGCTGCTTGGCCGCGTCACGGAGTCAGCCACAACGTCGGCGAATATGTTGGTTGCCAGCGCTGCCGCGGGCGCAGAGCTGATGTCGGTGACCAGGGCGCCCATGCAGGACTTCACGTCGATCACATCATACCTGACGGCGGCGCAGTGGGCGGAAATACTGGATAAGGACAGCGACTTCATGGACCGAGTTGCGGCCATGATGCAGGCGTGCAAAACAAAAAAAAAACTCGGGTTGTGCACGTTGCATGAGCCGACGATCCAAATGGCGACGTGCACCGCCCTCGCGGTGGAGGGCTTCGAGCGGGCAGCGCGCCAGCCCCCGTTGGCCCTGTCCGGCTATTTTCAAGAGGGCGAAGTCGTACACCAAGAAGCTCCCCCCGTGGAGTGCAAGCGCCCTGCCGAGGTGGGGCCGTCGTTCGTCGATAAGCTCCCCGAGGACGCGGTTGCCATGCGGAGGGCGCGCCGAGACGTCTATTCCCGCGTGTGCGCCGAAAGTGGCGATGTCCCAGTCAAGTGCCCGCTGGACGTCACCCAGCTGCTCGTGTTGAGCGACGCGGTCCCGATGCGGGAGAACAAAGCTCGCCTGGAGAGCTCTCCTGAGCAATCGAGCGTCGACATGGCGCTGCAGCTCGCCGACAGGGCGATTGCGCTGAATCGCGGGCGCGAGGACAGCGGTGCGTTGCGCGACCGCGACGTTCCCTTCAGGCGATGCACGCCCAACCAGGCCGGGCCGCCGCCGCTCGCCGACGCGGCGCCCGCGCCCGCCGCGTCGGCCGATGCCGAGACGCCGTCGAAGCACAGCGTGGAGGAGGCAAGGGACAATATCCACGCGCAGCTGGGGGGCAAGACGCCGAGCGTGTCCCACAAACCGCCGTCGCAGAGCGACGGCGAGTCGGATGACGACGGCAGCGACGACGACTCCGACTCCGAGAGCGAGGGCGGCGCCCCCGCGGCCAGCGCGGCTGGCGATAAG